GGGAGGGAGGGAGGGAGGGAGGGAGGGAGGGAGGGAGGGAGGGAGGGAAGGACTAAGCTAAAAACAGGGATCTCTAATTCCTTCCATTTCCCAGCTGTAGAATGACCAGGCCTCCTGCTCCCGAATGGCAGCGTGATAAGGATACTAACCCACTGACTCCCAAACCCGGGAGAGCCTCTGAAGATATCGGAAATCTACGGACACAAATGAACAGCAGCTTCTCTGGTCTATGATCTTTCACTGCTACTTATTTTGTAAAAAAAACTCTATAGGGTGAGCAGGCAAAGACCGCGTTAATGAGCAAAGAAGCAGGAAGAACGAAGCCAAGCTTTGCGCATGCACACCCCTGATCCAGCCAAGAACACCCTTGCTGCTTCTATAGGCAAAAAAGCAAACTGAAAACCCAGTCAACATGTGGCAAGCCACACCTTTGTGTGGCTCTGTCCTAGAGGAAGTCAACAGTATGCTTCTGCTAATCACCAGGTCTGCTCCAGGAGCCTGGAGGCAGAACATTCTCCACAGAGCAGAGAAAATTCATTCCCCCTCAACTCAATAAAAACCCAAACAGACGAGTTTTTAGGGCTGTGCAAAGCTGACCTGTTTGGGCATGCATCTGCTTGGTGACGTGGGAGAGCAAGGACTGAAGACCACAAATCCAGTTCCAGCCCATAAAGACTAAAGTAGCGCGCTATTATCACACCATGCTTCAATAAGTCAGTCATGGATACATTTCAAATCTAAAACTACCATGACACAAATCAAGACCATCGTGTTTAATGCTAGTATCAAATGCTCGGTGACCACTCCCTCCCACTGAGAGACACAAAATAAGCAGAGACGCTGTGGATGTAAAATCCCATCCGAGCACTACGGTTCTAGTGGGACACACATTTAAAATTCCTATCACAGGAGCAGAACGCCAGCCAAGAATCAAACTGTGACCCCTGAGCCAAAGGCAACTTACCACTCAGCTGGTAAGTGGGCAACTCAATTTACAAAGCTGAATTCCTGCATTTTAATCCTCTGCAGAAATACATGAGCAATGCTAAATGAACTGGATGCAGCTCATTAGAGGTTCACAAACCAAACACAGGAAACTGGACGGCAGCCAAAGCAAAGCCATGCCTAGGTGGCGATGTCCACTCAATGAACACTCAACGTCATAATTATCTTCCAACCTTTTCTCTGAAGAACATTAGTCCTGTACTTATGCTCCATCACAATGCTGAGCCGATTACACTGATCCTAAGAAAAGACGATAGGACCAGCACAGCAGCTAGTGCCTGGACCTTACTGCGTATACATCTATAATTTCCAGATCTCGGAGGGGAAAAAAAGACCAAAGCCCAGTACAGTGACACATTGTGTGTGCACATGAACTACCAGCTATTTCTCAAAACCACTACTAATTACTCCATTTCCAACTATTAAGAACTGCTCCCTGGATTTGGTTTTACAAATGCCATATGAACCGAGGGAGGGTGTGCCTCAGCAGGTGAGTGCTGCGAGCATCTGTGAAGCCCTGAGTTCAATCCCCAGCACTGGGGGGAGGAAGGAAGAATCAGTATCTGAAGCTGTGTCTCCTTTACAATGTTAACAAACATTCAAACAGAAATCTATCCCCAGTTATTTTCTGAAATTTCAAAATGAGGCAAAGCAGTCTTATAAATGAGCGAGGGGGTGAAATTCGGCAGACAGGGCCCTAATCATGATTAACTTGTTCCGAAAGCTTGAGGTCTCCCACAGCGGGGCTATTCGCCGTCTCACCTAACTTACTATCTTCATTATCAAAAAGATCCATGCACCTGAATTGGACATTCCTTTTTGGTTAGCAGAAAACACCCAAACTAAAATTTCAATTAAAAGTGTGCTGAGGGCAGGAGAGATGATTCAATGGGCAAGGATGCTTGCCAAAAGCCTGAACTGTGTTCAACTGCTGGGCCCCACCCCGACCAGCACTCAGGAGGCAGAAGCAGGCGGATCTCTGTGAGTTCAAGACCAGCTGGTCTACAGAGCAAGTTCCAGGACAGCCAAGGCTACACAGAGAAACTCTTTCTCTAAAAGTCAAAAAAATAAATAAAGGGAAGAAGGAATGAATGAATTAATGAATAAATAAATATCACACAGAAAGCATTTGCTACAATACTTGATGGATAACCAGCAATTTATTCAAGTAAATCTAAGAGTTACCAGATTTCAAAGGCATGTAAAGATCATGGGGTTACATAAAACCAAAAAGGTAAGAAAAACTGAAGACTGTACTTCAGTGCGGACCTACTTTTACCCCACACACTGGAGGAAGAGAATAATGTAAAGAGATTTCCTTGGTAACCATTCTTCACAGACTTTCTGTATTTGGCTCTCACTCTGGCTCAACAAACTAGGCCAATGTCTAAAACTAGCAAGACTTGAACTCAGAAGAGAGACGAGTCTGCAGCTCCCCCAGGAATGCCTTCCCAACCTGGCGTCAAGGAAATGGCTGGGAACCAAGAGCGCTAGCATCCCAAGGCTTCAGCCCCTGCTTTCTCTCCTTCCGCAGCAGACAGAGCTATTCACCCATCAGATGGACTGCAAGTGCCACGAGGCCTTCAGCTTCCTGCTGCACAGGGCTCCTTCCTTCACAGAGAGGAAGTAGACTCTAATAACACAAAGGTTCTTGGTTGGGGTTGGCAGCCAAGAGTCACTTTCTTATCTATCAATCATCTCCCCACCCCACCCCCACAATCAGAAGCGTCAACTCTGGAGAAAGTAAAGCCTGGCAGAAGAAAGGGTAACCTGGGGTAACAAGAGGCAAAGGGTAACCTGGGGTAACAGAAAGCAAGCTGATTCCTGCACTCAGAGTTGTTCTTTGACAGTGTGGAGCTATGTGCAATGTAAGGAACCACACTAGGACTGAAGGGCTGACCTAATTCCATCTTTCCTTTACCTGCAAGATGAGGACAGACAACACTCAGCTACAGAACACGGCCTCAGGAGCGAGCAGTGTGCAGCTCAACATCACATAAAATGTAGTCAACAGCTCTTCACATCCACTTTCTAGAGAACAAGCTCCGGCCGACTTGTTTCCTCACGGAAGAGTTTCAGCGAAATGCGGAGAAGAAACTCCTGGGAGGAAGATCTGTTAATGGCTGCCATGGCTTAAGGGGCAGCATTACAGGACCGCCCCAGTTCAGAGGCAGTAAAATCATTTCCCCCACTGCCAGGCACAGCCTTTCTGGCGCTCCTGGTCACTAAGCACCATGACAAGCCTGAATCTAATTGTGTCCTTTGCAAGGCCAGTGTCTCCTCAGGCCGGCTAAACAAGCAAACTCTAAGACTCCGGGACCGTGAGCTGATGCCGCTAGATGAGCAGCCATGTATGGTTAACGACACTTGATTCTGAAAGGGAGAAAAAGATGGAGACTTTTGTTTAAGAACGGCTTCTCCTATCCAAGACAACTAACCAAACTCACAAATGAAACCAGAAGCCTTTTCTAGACACACCACAGAAATAGTCTAAGAGAAGAAACTTTCGGGAAACTTACGCTGATGCTAGCCCAGGCTGGTGGCAACATCTGTAATCCCACCGCTGGGAGACCAAGCTTGAGGACAGCCTGGGCTAACACGATCAGACTACCTCACAGTCTACCAAACAGGAACTTTGTCTACTTTGTTGCAAGATCAATTTCCATTTTTAAAAAAGAAAAAACAAAGTGAAAATGGTCAATTTCATTGCAAGTTCAACTTTCCATCTTTAACAAAAAAAGGGGGGGATAACACAGAACACCCCCAAATTCTCTCAATACCAGTAACACAAAAATCAAAAAGAAAAAAAAGCTATCACTACAACAGGTGAAGGCAAAGAGAAGCTGGTACCAACCTGCTGCTGTGGGTACTGCATGCCTCCCAGGGCCCCTGGAGCCCGGCCCTGCATGCTGAGGGGGTACCGCTGTGCGCCTGGGGGACCATAGGAGCCTCCTGGGTATGGACTGCTCTGCTGTGGCTGGGAATGGGGGTGAGTACCCATCCCATACAACTGAGGCCTCTTCATCACCATTGGATCCATTGGACTGCCCTGTGAGGAAATAAAGAAGAGAATTTATTAGCTATTACTTAGAACAAATGCAGACTCTGAATCTTAATACATACATAAAACACAACCATCTAAATCTTGAGATTAAAGACCACAACTCCAAAAAATACTAATCTAGAACATTAAAGGAAAGAGACATTTTCTTAAACTAACTTTCAGAAAGGATTTTAAAATAAAGAAGATCTAGACTCAATTATACAGAGAGAAATTATACATCTAAGCACCTAGAATTCTAAAAAGCACAGATAACGTGATTCCTAAGAAGGATAAAGATGACTGACTGGCAGCACTTTTGATTCAAAGTATCACAGCGACGACATTTTAGACCTGAAACCTACAGAGCCTGAGGGAGTCTAGTGCCCAAGTATTCGCTGAAGTAAAAAGAAGAATTTTAGATAATGCAAAATGCTTTCAGATAAACATTTCCAAAGATAATGAGTGTGTAGCAAATGCCCCAGACTGGGAATCACAAGCTAGTAAACAGTTTAGCAAAAACACTAGTTCAAAGCTAACTCTGAATTTATTTTTGGTCTGGTGAGTCAGTCCTTGGGCCTCAGGGCCAAGGCCAGAGAAGCAGGAGCAGAAGTCAAGCAGGGCCTTCCCAACCTGGGCTATCAGAGAAGCAGGCTGCAAGGGAAGACAACGCCTGAGGCCACAAGGCCCACAGCACTCTCAAGCAGATCCTTCTCCCCAAACCTACTGTGTGCCAGGCTCCCACACAAGCTGGTGAGCACTCTCAGGAAGAGCTGCGGACTAACTGGAGAGCCAGGCTCAGGGGGGAAGTGCAAACAGAACTCCAACTTCAGCAGCAAAGCTGCCTGCTGTGTCTGAGGAGGATATGGAAGCTACTGGTATGTGTGATGCAGGAGACTGAAGATTTGCTGCAGAAGGCCGAGACCAGAGCGTGAGCCAAAGCCTGACAGGTCATCTCAGGCTGCCTCTTCCCATGGCCCTCTGGGTGCTTTTATAGAAGGCTGTCACCAGAGCCACCTGTCAGGACTGTCCTCTCAGGAAGTGGCTGAAAGCAGGGCCAGCTGCCATACTGGGCAGGTGAGATAGAGGTCCTGTGATGGACAGGCAGCAGTGATGAGACTTCAGACACACACACACACATACACACACGAAGACTCAGAATCTACGAAGTGATGGACAGGCAGCAGTGATGAGACTTCACACACACACACAAGACTCAGAGTCTACGAAGTGATGGAAGGTGGGTGGTAAGACACAGATTAAGTAAGGAATATGCAATGGAGGAAAGACTGGGCACTAACAGTGATGTTGGCACGAAAGGTGATGCTTCCAGGGGCACAAAGTAAATGTTCAATAAGCACAGGGTGAGTTAGCAAGTAAAGCCCATTCACTTTATCCAGGGAGAATAGCCAATGAGGCACAGGATCAGGAATATAAGGGCAGTTGGGTATCGTTTGAGACTACATTAACAAGACCCTGTTTTGAAAGACAATATGGGAGGGAAAAGAGGAACAGAGAGGATAATGGGTGAAAAATAAATTGAGAGCAATACTATTTTGGCGGGGGGGGGGGGGCATGGACCACAAAGAAACCAAGTGTCTGAAACAGCAGTTAGAACTGCAGAGAGCATGTTGTCACCGAAGAGAAGGCAATCTCATGGAGCGACAAAGCAGGCCTGCCACCCAAGCCCAGCAGGCCACACAGTAAAGGTGAAGGCCTGGAGGAACATTGGCTAGAGCAGGTAGCTGCTGAGCTCTGCAGAGACAGTGTCGCCAGCTGAGCTGAGGCATAAGGGTGAAGGGGAAAGAGAAAGAGAAGCAGCAAGCAGTGAGCCCCACAACCCACAGCTGAGGAAGGGGAGAATGGCCAGCTTCCCCTCCCTCCATGTCCCACCACAAGACTGCAGGTGGTCATTTCTCCTGGGAGCGAAATGACCCAGGGGAAGTCATCCGGGGAGGGATTGTTTTTGTGACTTGATGACAGCTGTGTGCTCAGGCTGTGATGATATTTGCGGTGAGAATGTGCACTCCACACTCGCAGGGGAACAGGAATGAGCAGCCATGACGATGATGGAGAAGATGGGGGGGTATCATGATCCTAGTACATGCAGGGATATGGGGAGGCAGGGATACAGAGATCAGGGATGCCTGGAAGCAGGGATACAGGGATCAGGGATGCAAGCAGCTGACACATTGCCTCAGTGGTACGAGAAAAGAAAGGAACTATGGGAAACACCTGGCCTCACCCAGAGGACCCCCCCCCGGCCCCCAGGGACAGCTCTGTGGGTGCAGATCCTACATGGACCGACACTGTGTGGAGCACAGAGGAAATGGGGTCACACAACCTAAGAAAATTCACAAGTTTGGGGATTTAAACTCTATTACTTTCACCAACCGAGAACACTGAACCTAAAATAACTGGAAATGAACAAGAGCATATGGTTTCGTTCAATCAGTACACTTCTCTTCCATAGCCCTGGCCTGCCTCGCAGACACACATGCTAGCATGCCTGTGGCAACAGCAAAATCTAGAACTAAGCATTTCCTCTGAATATTTACATTACAGTGTATGCTTGTGAAAGCAGGGTGTAATTTTTCTCCAGATTTTCTTTCCAACGATAAAGCAAGATTTTCTTTGGCAGTGTGAAAAATCAAGGTTGAGCCGGTAATTTCAAAACCAGCGAGGGAACAGCAGCCCACAGAGAGGCTGCACACATTCCCAATCAGGTCAGAGAGCTATCAGCACAGCTCTGCAGCAGCCCTGTGCGGGCATCACTCAGGCAGCACGAACACGGGGTTTCTACTCTCCTCACTGGACACAACGCCCAACCTAAACTGCGTAAGGAAAGCACAAGGTCTAACTCGGGAGGAAGTGCAGATGCCTGCGCCGGGCACGACCACAGTGCAGCGCTTGCCTTACCCGTGACGAAACTGTTTCATATCTGTCTCAGCAACTCAGTCCAATTCAAGATGCAGCTAATTTGCACTCGAGTCAAAAATGTTAGCTTAACCCTGAGACTCCTGAAAATCAAGGACGTGAATGTAGCTCCTCTCCGCCTCCAAGGCATGGATCGCTCACGGGACTGTGAAGCGCATACCTACTCACATAACACATATTATCTAATTCTATCCTTCTCTCCTTACATCCTATTATTAGGCACTCATCCACAATCCAAATTCATCCCCTGTGAACCTGCTGATGTGAACATTAAAACATGCAGAGAAGGATCTCAGCTCCTCACTACGAGAACTTCAATCAAAACCAAAACTCTTCCTGAAAAGCTGAAGGCTAGGTTAGGCCTCGTGTGCACATAGACCCTTAAATGATTTTGTTTGTTATCGTTCGTCCTGTTGGAATACTCTTAGAGTATGACCATCTTCATTTCTCACACAGAAGGTATGCTGTTCCAGGCACCGCCCACAGTCATCGGTCCTCAAGCACCTCACTGGGTGGGGTTTTCCTCTCCAGGCAGAATCCCACAATGCTTCACCTGAGTGTCAACCCCACAAGACATCCATTGCCGAACAGGATTTTAGTACTTGCAGTGCTCTTCCTCCTCTCCCTTCAGGACACACACACTTGATTTGCCTGGTCTCTCTTGGGGGCCTAATGTCTTCCAATGGGAAGAACGGCCTGAGGACGAGTGCGGCAGAGTTTTAAAGCATGGTGTTCAGACTCTAAGCACACTGGTAACCAGGTCCAGCTATATTCTGGCTTCCGAAAGCTGACCTGGGAATTCCCTTTTGTAAATTGCCCAAGCCGAAAGATAGCAGCTCATGTATCTCTAGCGTAATTTAGAGCGCCATTCAGAATCACCTTATCAGAATATGCCCAGTACGTATTTATAGTAAAGATACCTATGTAACGTAACTTTATCCCTGAATATCAAATTAAGGGCCTAATATACTAAAGGTTTTGATATGATTTTCTTAGCCCAGTTCCCTAAACCACAAATTGGATAAAGATATTTGCAAAACCCCCAGAAAGAACCATCACAGGTCAACCCACAACTGTCTGCACATCCAGCTACTACAAGAGCTCACAGAAAAGAAAGGCCTCTCTCTTCTCACTGATGGGAAGTAGTATCCTGCTGGTAATATTCCAATCACCTACAGAGCTGACAAAAGTAAACAAGCCCAGTATGAATAAGTATTTGAACAAACAGGTATAAAAGGTATAAATGGACACTAGCAAGAAGAGGGCTAGCGGGTGAAGTTCTTATCAACAACCTGAGTGGGACCCCTAGGATCCCCATAATAGAAGGAGGCAACCGCCTTCTGCTGCTATGGAATATCTTTTTGTACACTATGAAGATGTGTCTTTGCCAAGGCGACTTCTGACTGGCTTAATAAAGAGCTGACTGGCCAATAACTAAGCAGGAGAGAATAGGTGGGACTTCCGGGGAGAGAGAGGAAATGGGGATAAATTTGCTGTGGCAGGGAGCCACTAAAGAAGTTGGACATATAGTACAGAGGAGAGGGAAACCACATGGCAGAAACCAGATTAATAAAAACAAATTAAATTATAAGAGCTAGTTGGGGGAAAGTCCAAGCTAAAGGCCAAGCTTCATAATAATAAGTCTCCATGTCATTATTGCTGAGCTAGGGGCCCAACGGAAAAGCAGACTACATCTGCAAGCTTTCCACTGGCCTCTATGCTCTACGACGTGTGTGCACAGGTGGAAGCACACACGCACACAGAATTAGTAAGAGCTACCAAGTGCCTGTCATCCTGCAACCTAAAAGTTCAAAGAAAAATGGAACCAGTCAAACTAAACCACAATCACAAAAGCTATGTGCAAGCCTTACTATACCAGCACAGTGGGATGTGTGAAAGTGGGAAGATGGAGGACGCACAAAATAGGAAAAGTTCTCCATTGTGATGCACACAAGTTATGGTTCTATGAAAACTGATGCTGATGACCAGGAGGCCTCTGGGACCTGTGAATAGCTGTCACCTCTTGAAGCAATCTTCTCGGGCTTTTCCGTGATAATGGCTCTATACAGCTT